CATTATGCAAGTTTAACTAGGTTGAATCGTCACCAGTAATTGTGTTGATTCGCGTCTGATTGCGTACAGCCAATTGTCAGTGACACTTGACACTGGGTGTGATTTCTCTGGGTGTGGCTTGTCGTTGATCAGATATCCGTTAGTTCGCTGTAGAGAGTTCGTTATGTACGTGAATTTTATATGATAATATATAGGAGATAAATCGGGGATTTTTTAACAGTTCGTTGTATCCGTTTGTTCGCTCTATCCGTGATCGTTATATCCTTGTTCTACTGTAGTTAAAGAATAATACGTTCAATAATAATAGTCAAACGATGGAAACAGCAAACCGACATATAGTGACGTAAGAAGGTATTTTAATTAAACTTGCGTCGCTTCACAAAGAAGTAAAGTTAACATCTTTGGAAATGTGTTTCGTTAACTGGTTTCATAAAATGCATAGACAGTAACAGCATACAATCGCCTGAATGCATTTGAGTTTTGAGGAAAGGAAGATATTCTCGCCCATGCGCCACTGTTGGCCCATGGCAAAGTTTACATTTCGCAGTTTCGAAACATTCTGTTTTCAGCTTTCATCCTTAGTGTATACCCATGAAAGCAGTATGTTGGATTTTGTTAATACCTTTGACGGAGTCGGGCCAAAGCACGGAGAGTTTCTGGCGGGTAGAGAATACCTTTTTTTTATTACCCACGTGGTGAAGATACAGGTGGTAAGATACTCAATCCGTACGTCACACGTGTGTCGTACAAGGTTGACCTTGTTTTATTCGTTTTGATTGGATAACCGTGACCTCTGTCACACCGGGACTACTTTTTTCATTCATAAAAAATCGCGAGACGTCATTCATTTTGCAACTACAAGGCAGAACTGAAGCAATCTCATATGAGTAAGAGATATTAACAAACACTTTATTAAACTAAACAAGATAGTCATACGCATCAAATTCGGTTTGCATCCTATATATGTTATACATTGAGCTTCTACAGACATTATATAATCGAGCTATATCCATTTACAATGTACGAGTACCGTTCAATAGATCGAGGGTCCCAATGGGCGTGACACACCCGACTACTTTGGATGGTCCTTTTGTGCCATCAGTGTCCTCTTCGAAGCGTATTTTGTGGCACTGTTTTGGAGTTGTTTGTTCACAACTGCACAACCAGATCACTCAAGTGAACATTTCCGATATAAATCATTCGAAAGCTCCGTAGAAGTGTGCCTGATTTCTGACTATGTGGCCCAAAATGTCCCAAAGGTGAACGATAATATTCCCTATCTCTAGCGTAAATCACGGTTGTCTTTTCTTATTCCGGTGATGACCTTGCCCTTCGTTCGAAGCTGTCACTGACATGCAAGCAGACTTGAGCGTGTTGATTTTCACGTCTTCACTAAAGGGTGGTACAGTAAACATGAATGTCTTTGGCAAACACTCTGATTTCCCTCTTCCACAGACGGGACCCCGGCAGTGCGAGTGACCGACTGATGGTCCGATATTCAAAGCGCGGCGCTAATATGACTTTTCAAATTTTCTTATAGGTGTCCTGCGTGCTGACAACATGGCGCTTGAATTCTCATAAGTAGATGAAATTCTTCCAAAAGGATCTGGAGCGTCGGTGCTGTTATGTTTGCAAACAACAACTGCAGGCGCATGTTTTTAATGCATAGGGATGTCAACAATGCCAATATTTGGGCATATATCAATATTCATGCGCAACCAGACTTTGCAACCGGTTTCAGTTTGGTCTGTCAACGAACAAAAGTTGTTATGTATTTACACTTACATACATATTTAACGTGGGTAATAAATAAAATACCACACTCATTATCGTTAGATACCATTTTTACGAAACTCGTGAACTTTCTATGGTATCTGACCTCGCTTTCGCTCGGTCAGATACCATAGAAAGTCCACTCGTTTCGTAAAAATGGTATATAACGAGAATGAGTGTAGTATTGTCTATGTAATACGTTATTGGCTCTTTTAAAATGCCTTGATTCGATATTTCACGTTAAGAAATAGCTGTCATACGTTATTTCTCAGGAGTCCTATTATCGTGAATTTGAAAATAAATAACACGTTTTCCGTGAAGTGTCTCTTATGTGAATTGTTATTATTCGTTATCGATTATTATGTATTACTCCAGCTACAAGTAGTAAAGAGTAATAAATTCATTAATATTCAGAACATTGTTAGGCGTATTTGTAAAGAATACCCACACTACATAATGAGTTTCATTGAATGATGAAATTTGATACTAATTGCCCGTAAGCATATGACATGTCGTGTAATACAAATCAATTATTTACCATGTGATAGCATTAATCTGCTAAGACAACTTTGCAAAAGGACATATCAATAACCGATATAAGAAACAACATTTAAAATCTTTCAATGACATGCATCAACCAAGTCAGCGAGCCTGACCACCCGATCCCGTTAGTCGACAAGCATGGGTTACTGAAGACCTACTCTACCCCGGAATCTTCACGGGGCTGATATTTTAGGAGGTATATCAACCAAGCACTTGTGACAATTTTAATTTCACACACAGACAGACAGACACACACACTATGTACAATGTCTAAGTTTGATATGAGGCACTAGACACAATTCTATACCTAGAATAAAGCGTGTTACCTATTTCCAAGCTGCTTTCATTATTCTTAATGGCACAGATGAACAAATAATAACGTAGTGTAAAAAACTGTATCAATTAATAGCATATCGTTCAAATAAACACACATTTCAATAAATTTGAGCGATTTGCTTTCTACCTGGAATTCTGTGTAACTGACGCTTATCTTAGTTATTTGTTTCATGCGTGGTATGAAAAGAGGAGGAACTTGTGGAATTCCAATTAAATATTTTTTCATAACAACGTCAAATATATTTTCGTCTTATTCTATGATATAAAATCCGTCACTTATACATGTATAGCTATATAAAGGAGTTTCCTACATTCTTCTGTATACACGTATGACATATTCAAGGTTAGTTAAAATATCGATTTACGTTCTGTAACGAGAAACAAATACTAGTTATCAGAATAAAAGAAATATAAACCGGTTTGGGGGAGTGCCGAGACGCCGCTCTTGTCATGACTGTGTGTCTGCAGTACCGCGGACAACAAGACCAGTAAGGCGCTGATGCATACGTATATGTATTTGAGTATTATATAACTTATTAATACTTTGAAGTTTTTTTTAAAAAAAAGGTTAGTTTTGCTTTTCCCATTTGATAATCTGTACACGCTTGGTTTCTAACAATTGTGTCAGGAGTTTCCCTATACTTTTTTAATTATCCATTTTGTAATAGAGTTATCTCACAACTCTACTCTTGATATGAGTGCTACATGCGACTGATCACGTTACAGTAATGCAAGAATGATGTAACCAAGGAAACGTTAATTGAAACAGCGTCGTGACGTCAGCCCATTATGACGTAACAGTACACGAATCATCTTAAAATGAGAAATCAGGATTACATAAGTTGCGTTGCCCAGAACGTCAACTTTGAACAAGAAAGTAAACAATCTGGTAGAGTGAATAACACACCAACACTCCAGTAATTGATCGTTTTTGTAAATTATGTGAAATGAAAGATCAAAAATATTTCCGCACCGAAAAAACTTTGTAAATACATGAAAGCTGTTGAAGCCCCCGGCTAATCCTTTGTCTGCCTCACTATGTTATTTCTGTGTGTACCTCGTTTGCCTAGGTCCCCAGCCTGTGTGTAATAAAGTTTGGTTCTGTTCTGTAGAAAGGTGGGCGCTGAGTTCCGGCCTGTAATCTAAAACGTGAGGACTAACCAGTGAAAGCTCGAGAAATATATTCTACCAAAAAAGTAGGGGATAGTGAAACTCATTAAGCCATGTTCTGATCTATATGGTATTGGCAAATAGGAATGATATGATCATATCTGCTGGGGAGTAGGCGATCAGATTTAATGGGTTCTAATGGTTGGTGTAGTGAGATGGTGAGCACGTGCAGTGTCATCTTGAAAGATGAAACGTTACACAACGCATTGTGTACATGGCACAACGGCACCACATTGTGCAAATGACACCTCTGATATGGTCCAGATAGTGACCTGTCACTCCACAATGGATGCCACCCGATACCATTATGGACCCCCAAAATCATCCTGTACTACATTAATGTCCCTAAAACTCGATTGCTTTGGTTATCGAAGTCGAGAGTTTACCTCGATTCGTCAGAAAACATGACGATTATTCCAGTGCTGACGCTCCTATACCACGAACGTCTCTGGCTCAAATGACGTGTTTTGGAAACACTATTCTGACGTGTGCCCACTTGCAACATGCCCGTGGAACGTAATTGTGTGAACGTACTATCTTACTTAATGATTAAATGTGTTTAATAAAGTATCATTGAGCGTTTGGTTCCAAGAAAACAATATGCGTCTGCTCACAACCGAGCCTGAGTGACAATGGTAAATGTGGCATACCACCCCTTGCACGTGCTGTCCGACGTCACGTGCTTTATGGCTGTCACAATGTTGTGTTTGGGAGCTTGATTTCTTCGTAAATGTTCTTGCCACATTAATCACTTAGTTTAATTGGCAATATCCGTAGATACTGTTGCTCGATTGACCATGTCAGTCAGTAACATGGAATAGCTTGATAACTTCGTTTTCGTGGAGTAAATTTCGACGCGTTTTCGTGGCAAAATCGAAAGCATCCAAAAAGCTTTGAATGTCGCCCAATGCCCATATCCGAAGGAAAACGACGTGTTTGCCTTTGCAATGTGAGTGAATAAAGTTTTACACTGCTTTTAACAGTATTTCAGTTATTGTTACAGTGTGACATAATCATAGAGCATGGGCTTGGTGCTGACAAACCTAGAATCATAATCAGGGTGAATTGGGATTATAACTAAAACTCATAGGATCCTGGCACGTCTCTCTCTCTCTCTCTCTCTCTCTCTCTCTCTCTCTCTCTCTCTCTCTCTCTCTCTCTCTCAGAAAACATACACGTTATCTTGAATATTTTATTCAGCGCATGCCAATGCCATGTTTTAACGAAAATTACTCTCCTCATTTCATTGTTCTTGTCTGTAGTACACGACATGGGTACAATGTGTGAAGCCCATTTCTGGTGTCCCCCGCCGTGATATTGCTGGAATATTGCTAAAAGCGGCGTAAAACCATACTCACTCACTGTAGTACACAGACCACTTAAAAGTGTGATATAATTATTTGTGCCGTCAGTTTAGTTGTAACATTGCATACAGAGAATGGGTTTGGTTAAGGGGTGGTAGACTATTAACGTCTTACCACGGCGTGTCAGCAACATGTGAGGGGAACGCCAAAAGTAACGCAGGGTCTCTGACCTTTACCACATTGGTTAAGCCCACGACACCAGCTTTGTTACTGATAAATCAAAGATCATAATCTTGGTTTTGAACAACGATAATCGTATAGTTGTACGACTCTGGCAAGTTTGTTGGTTGGTTTGTTGTTTTACGCCGCACTCAGCAACATTCCAGCTATATGACGGCGGTCTGTAAAAAATTGTTTCGGGACCAGACAATCCAGTTATTGACATCATGAACATCGCAATTTGAACACGATGTCATACATCAACCAAGTCAGCGAGCCTGACCTCTGGCAAGTAGTGCCCCCACTATATATAGAAAAAAACACTATCAATCATTACAAAAACGACATCCAAGTATTCTCTGTCTCTGTGGGGACTGTCTTGGCAAAACATTCAAACGCATAGTTCATGCTGTCATTGTTGTCCCAGAACACAGAACTGCTGGTGGAATAGGAGATGGCGAATTCCAACCTGAATCCAACATCGAAGACTGCAGGTGCCACAATACTGAAGGAGAACCTATCTGTAGGTCCGTCGCAGGAGTTCAGGACATACGATGCTGCTATGTCATGAAAGGTGGCCCATCTGTTGGTGCTGTAGCGCACTTGCACCAGCTTGTTAAAGGAAATGTTAGCCACCCGTATCACCCCAGTGATCGTCATCCCTTCAATCATTGCATTCTCCAAACACACCTTTTGAGCAAAAACTTCCTTTCTGAAATCATCTCTAGCCCCGGGCTGGGAAAAGCAGGCAGTGAGAAAGCTGCTTCCTGTTGCACGTCTGTCCTGTTCCAGTCCTACACGCAGGTCAGCTAAGGCAGACGCCGGCACTTTGGGCGGGATGTCTACGTTGCCAATGTTTTTCACAAAATTTAGATCTAAACCCATTGCGTCCGCGAAACGGACAACTTTCTTTTTGCTTCCCGGTGTTCCGGGTGGAGTCTTGTTTGTCTTAAGAGATGAGGATTTTCTAAACTCACTTCGTGAAAAGTTACTTTCTGTATCTTTGGTTGCAGGACCTTTCGAGGACACAAATTTGAGAAAAGCTTCCAGCGTTGTGTAGTAGTCATCGACTTCATGTCCATCTTCTGTAGCTGCGCTTGGAGCATCCGTCTCAATCACACGTGTCCTATCATCATCCTGGTCCCCCGAAGACCCCCTGGCCTCCGTTTTCTGTTTGCTCATAGCTTCCCCCTCCTCGGCCATCGCTTCGAAAAGACGCACAAATTGCGGACGATCTTTTCTGGATTGACACACTTCTCGAGGGTTCTGTACGAATGCCGAACTGATACTATATTCGTCCGTGTAGCCTTCCTGCACATACGACAGACTACGTGGAAGGAAGTGAGCCATATCTTCTTCCCTGGCCCCGGTCATTGCGGCTTGTGGATTATGACCTAAAAATTAAAAAGACAGACGAAGGTACGTACGAGGATTGTGCAAATATTGTTACATTTGTAAGAAGTACTGAACTGTAACGGTTCATCTGGTCCAGTAACATGTATGCTACATAATGTTTAATATGTAAATATATTCAAAAGTAAATCTATCAAATGTAAATCTAAAGATCACACATAATTGTATAAACCATTAGTTTGCCGATTATATATATATATATATTTATACATAATGTATTTATATACATAATGTATTTAGCATTAAACAGAATATGTATGTGTATAAACAGAATACGTGTGTGAATATGTGTTTATTTTGTATATATATAAAATATATGTTTGAAAGCAAGCAGGCAAAGTCTGTGTGTGTTTGGGGGGGGGGGGGGGGGGGGGGGAGGGTTGTTGTTCTGTTCGCAGGCCCGTTACAACTGTATTTTAGTCACATGTCATTTCATGATACATATATGATTCAGGAGGTGTCACATCGTACATTCAAATACGCGATATAATATCACCACTAACCTGACACGCCGCATGCGATATATTTAAATCCCCCGTCCCGATACTATCGCCGACCCAGCTGACAGTCTCAAGGTCACATGGTTGGCGGCCGGGGCCTGCTCATAGATGTCGCGGCTCGCTTCGGCGGTCATGTTCCCCTGTCATATGCTCCATCCATTCACAAGGGTCACCCCCTTCTATAGGGTATCACGCTGGGAACTTCTACTGGCAAGGGAGAGCATGTTTCCCACAAAGTCACTCAAGGTTATCCGAATGGCCCACATTATTCCTACGGTTATGCTACGTCACACAAGTTGAACTCCGGTAGGTCAGAAGAGCAAATTGTACCATACGTAAACATCTCCACGTGTATGGGACGCTCTGTCGGCGGAGCGATGTGAGTTAGTACGATGTGAGTTAATAATAACTGTGACAGCGCACTGGACTATTATACTGTTTCAGCGTTAGTATATAGTGCGACCGTATTATGTCGCTTGCACAGTTCATACAAACATGTATATAATGATAACAAGTAATAACGTATCGTCCCATCAACACCCCCATCCCTACCCCTTTATTCTTTTTATAACATTTTTTACACTATATATAATAGATTGTGCATTGTTTTTCTCGTAGATCGCCCTAACTATAGACGTAGTCATGTGTGTGTGTGTGTGTGTGTGTGTGTGTGTGTGTGTGTGTGTGTGTGTGTGTGTGTGTGTGTGTGTGTGTGTGTGTGTGTGTGTGTGTGTGTGTGTGTGTGTGTTCATGGATGTATTCATGGATGCATTCATTCATCGCGTCGGTTATTTCTTTTGTAAACAATCATGCTACTACCATCTATCGACAGCATTTGGTAATACGTTTACCAACATATATGTTCACTGTTTCTATCAAACTTAATCCCGGTCTACTTCTTTTATAATCATCTCCAGGGGCGGTAATCTAGTGTTTAAAGCGTTCGCTCGTCACGCCGAAGGCCCGGGTTCGATTCCCCCCGTGATATTGCTGGAATAGTGCTCAATGACTGTCACCACGAGGCTGCTTGGGTCTTCATGTCAGACTTAGATGCTAGGAGTCGGGCGTCTTATAATGCTCTCCTCCTATTGTTGAATAATACGTTCTGATATAAATGTATCTTGTCACAATACGGTTTACTGCGTAGCATTCAATTAACTGTAAGGCAATGCCAAAGTACACTCATACAGGTTTGTTTTATATTCAAATTGGATATTTTATGTTTCAATATAGAATTCTGTGCAGAACTGGTCCATAAAATATATAGACGATAGCAATAAGTTTTCAATGGCAATATTATTATGTTTTAAAAAAGGCAAAATGTTTATTTCAGGGGAAATCCATAGAATGTGTAGATAAAATGGAAGGAGGTATTTTCCACGGTTCCCGATCGCCTGATATCCCAGTGAACATCTGGGATCAATTTGTTGCACAGCCCAGGAGACGGTGAGTACAACGAGGGAACATCGAAGAAGCCCTGGAGGTGAAGCGTGATCCAGTGTTCGTCACCCGATACCTAACGGCACATTGAATGGTTCTATTGATAAGTGGGAGGGGGCACGGGTGGCCTTGTCGTCTCAGGAGCAGCAGAGGTGCCTTCCCTTGGGCACGTCAGAAACCTATAGATGATTGTGGGTTCGCCCCGAATATGTTTCTAGCTTTGTCAGCTAACTTACTCGTTTTCTTGGATTTCACCAAAGTGGTTAACGTTTGAGACCTGCATTACGTCGGGCTTTCCCACCACATTAAGCTGACATGCCGTGATTTAACTGGAATACTGTTCAAAGCGGCGTTAAGCCCAACTCACACAATGATGAGCAAGGAGGACACACGCGAATTGCGGCGCCTTAGGCGAGCGGGCCACGAATGACTTAGATGGAACAGACAAAAACGATTCTGAACGGTAAGATTTACACATGCAATAAGAAACTTGAGTTTGTTCCAGTGATACAGGGACTATAGCGCTTATGACTCTATCCAAATGACCATGCTAGAAAATACACTGAGCATTCACTCATTATTTATGTGGCCACCTGTCCATCTGCATGTTATGTGGGCTTCCCTCTGTATGTATGTGCTCACCTGTCCATGTGCCTTCTATGTGGGCTTCTGGTTAAAGCGTTCGCTCGTCACGCCGAAGACCCGGGTTCGAATCCCGACATGGGTACAATGTGTGAAGCCCATTTCTGGTGTCCCCCGCCGTGATATTGCTGGAATATTGCTAAAAGCGGCGTAAAACCATACTCACTCACTCACTCACTCTATGTGGGCTTCCCTCTGTATGTATGTGCTCACCTGTCTGTGTGCCTTCTATGTTGGCTTCCCTCTGTATGTATGTGCTTTCCTGTCCATGTGCCTTCTATGAGGGCTTCCCTCTGTATGTATGTGCTAAAATATTGAATAAACTTCTGTCTGTCTGTCTGTCTGTCTGTATGTGCTCAACTGTCCATGTGCCTTCTGTGTGGGCTTCCCTCTGTATGTATGTGCTTTCCTGTCCACGTGCCTTCAATATGGGCTTCCCTCTGTATGTATGTGCTCACCTGTCCATGTGCCTTCTATGTGGGCTTACCTCTGTATGTATGTGCTCACCTGTCCGTGTGCCTTCTATGTGTGCTTCTCTCTGTATGTATGTGCTCACCTGTCCGTGTGCCTTCTATATGGTCTTACCTCTGTATGTATGTGCTCACCTGTCCGTGTGCCTTCTATGTGGTCTTCTCTCTGTATGTATGTGCTCACCAGTCCGTGTGCATTCAATGAGGGCTTCCCTCTGTATGTATGTGCTCACCTGTCCGTGTGCCTTCTATATGGGCTTACCTCTGTATGTATGTGCTTACCTGTCCGTGTGCCTTCTATGTGGGCTTCTCTCTGTATGTATGTGCTTACCTGTCCGTGTGCCATCTATGTGGGCTTCTCTCTGTATGTATGTGCTCACCTGTCCGTGTGCCTTCTATGTGGGCTTACCTCTATATGTATGTGCTCACCTGTCTGTGTGCCTTCTATGTGGTCTTCTCTCTGTATGTATGTGCTCATCTGTCCGTGTGCATTCTATGTGGTCTTCCCTCTTTATGTATGTGCTCACCTGTCCGTGTGCATTCTATGAGGGCTTCCCTCTGTATCTATGTTCTCACCTGTCCGTGTGCATTTATGTGGGCTTCCCTCAGAATATATGTGCTCACCTGTCCGTGTGCATTCTATGTGGGTTCCCTCTGTATATATGTGCTCACGTGTCTGTGTGCCTTCTATATTGGCTTACCTCTGTATGTATGTGCTAACCTGTCCGTGTCCATTCTATGAGGGCTTCCCTCTGTATCTATGTTCTCACCTGTCCGTGTGCCTTCTTTGTGGGCTTCCCTCAGTATATATGTGCTCACCTGTCTGTGTGCATTCTATGTGGGCTCCCCTCAGTGTATATGTGTGCTCACCTGTCCGTGTGCATTCTATGAGGGCTTCCCTCAGTGTATATATGTGCTCACCTGTCCGTGTGCCTTCTATTTGGGTTTCCTTCAGTGTATATATGTGCTCATCTGTCCGTGTGCCTTCTTTGTGGGCTTCCCCCTGTATATATATGCTCACTTGTATGTGTGCCTTCTATGTGGGCTTCCCCTTGTATGTATCTGATCACCTGTCCGTGTGCCTTCTATGTGGGTTTCCCCCTGTATGTATGTGCTCACCTATCCGTGTGCCTTCTATGTGGGCTTCTCTCTGTATGTATGTGCTCACCTGTCCGTGTGCCTTCTGTGTGGGCTTACCTCTATCTGTATGTCCTCACCTGTCTGTGTGCCTTCTATGTGATCTTCTCTCTGTATGTATGTGCTCACCTGTCCGTGTGCATTCTATGAGGTCTTCCCTCTGTATATATGTGCTCACGTGTCTGTGTGCCTTCTATATGGGCTTACCTCTGTATGTATGTGCTCACCTGTCCGTGTGCTTTCTTTGTGGGCTTCCCTCAGTATATATGTGCTCACCTGTCCGTGTGCATTCTATGTGGGCTTCCCTCAGTGTATATGTGTGCTCACCTGTCCGTGTGCATTCTATGAGGGCTTCCCTCAGTGTATATATGTGCTCACCTGTCCGTGTGCCTTCTATGTGGGTTTCCCTCAGTGTATATATGTGCTCACCTGTCCGTGTACATTCTATGAGGGCTTTCCTCAGTGTCTATATGTGCTCATCTGTCCGTGTGCCTTCTTTGTGGGCTTCCCCCTGTATATATATGCTCACCTGTCCGTGTAAATTCTATGAGGGCTTCCCTCACTGTCTATATGTGCTCATCTGTCCGTGTGACTTCTATGAGGGCTTCACCCTGTATATATGTGCTCACCTTTCCGCGTGCCTTCTATGTGGGTTTCCCTCAGTGTATATATGTGCTCACCTGTCCGTGTGCATTCTATGAGGGCTTCCCTCAGTATATATATATATATATATATATATATATATATATATATGTGTTCACCTGTCCGTGTT